TCCTCGAGTGCACAGAGCACTTTTCACTTCTAATGAGATTAGTGTGATATTTTGTCATCTCATGAGGGGGTCGCTACACACACACACACACACACCCACACACATGCTGATTTCCTTAAAACAGGCATCCCAGAGACTTGCTAGTGGCATCATCTCCGCCTGTGTGAATTAAAAAAACTCCCCCAGTGTGGATATTGTGTGCCGCAGGGCACATTGGTTTGATGAGTCTAATCCCTTGTCTGAAGAAACAAAAAGTGTTAAGTGTAAAGTGCTGAGGATCAGTGTGAGTGATGGCGTACAGAAGCCCATCTCTCCCAATCCCACACAGGCTCCTAATCCGAGAAGATCAAGTGTAACCAGGCTGGAAATGTGACTGGGCGGGAGCCAGTTTGATGCTTTCGGTTATGTTGACTCACAACGTGATCACTCCTGGCGCACGACAAACACAACTCGTCATGCCTGTCTAACCTTTTGTAGCTTTTTCCACAGAAATTCTTTTCATTCTCATTCAAATATGAAATTTACTATATCAAATGCACAAACTGCTTTTGTTTTTGTTACATCTGAATTCTTTTCTCACATTTTTCCATTAGATATTTGAATTTGAGTATTTCTTCAGAATAAACACAGATGTTTGTGCATGGGGGCGGAATAATGTGCCAGGTTCATGTGCAGCCATGCGTGACCTTTGCAGTAAACATCTGTGTGAATACTTTGCATGCTGATATGATGTTATACATGCTCAACGAAACCTCAACTGTTAATTTTCACAGTCCAATGCAGCATCATTCAAAACCGAGCGGCGGTAAAATTAACCGAGCACATGCAAGGAGCATTTACATGAGTCTATTTTTTAACCAGGCAGTGTGATTTGTTGTTTTGTTTGTCTGTATGTGACCATGAAGGTTACACGTCAGTGCCACATGCTCTTGTAAAATAAATACAACTGATTGCATCCACTCTAATGTTACGGTTTTACATTTCAGACTCAAAACAATTTTACTGTCTATTTAGAGTCTCCAATCAATCTAACCCCAATCTGCATCTCTTTGGACAGTAGCAGGAACCTGGTGAAAACCCACGCAGACATGGGAAGAACATACAAACAGAGATGATAGCCTGAAGGTAGCCAGTGAGTCACAGAAAAGTCATCTTACATCAGTTGTCAGTGCACGTTCATGTGTTTTTAGGGCGTGGACGAGAGGGCTGATGGGAGAGGGTGATATGTATTGGTTGCATAATTTCAAAGTGTAGGCTGCTCTTACTAGCTTCCCAGGATTACCAACCCTAGCCCTAATGTGTACAATTCTCTTTTAATCACTTGTCTTCCTCTGGACTGTTTTTTTTCTTTTCCACACAAGACATGTCACTGGACCAAAAACAAAACGCATAAAAAGCAGCTCTTCTTCGACTATAATGAGAAACATTGGTTGCAGGTCAAACTCCTCTCTCTTCTCTGTGTGCTATCCACCCGTTTCCTCAGCTACCTCAACCTTGCAAGCAAAAAGCACCTACACCTCTATTTATTTCTTCTTTTTTTGGATCAGGTTGATTCTTCTGTGAGGCTGAGTTGTCAAACATGTCACTACATGCAGTGTGTAGTTTTCTTTACTGAAATTTATGGATTTTGCTATTAAGTATGTGTGTGATTGACATCATGTTGGATTTCAACCCTCCTGCTGCGTAACTGCTAAAGCACCTGTAGTTGAGAACTCATGAAAAAGTGAGTGAGACCTGTGCTGGGAACAAATCCTATAGGTGTGAAAAGCAAAAAGCAAAAAAGGAGAGAAACTGATGTTGAAACATGCTGGATGGACAAATTCTTTCTTTATTATTCAATTTCACAGAGATTACAGTTCTGATCTTATTCACCATGTTACGTTTCCATCTATTTACCGCTGGCAGCTTTGAAGTGGGAAGGGGGCTTTAAAGTGCGGCAGGTATAGGCTAACAAGGCATCTAAGCCTGCGACGAAGAAGACACGGAGATGTGTAGTGTCTCTCCTGATCCACGGGGACTGGGGAAAAGTAGGCCAGGCACGGTGTCAGACTGCTGCGAGGATCAAGACGCTGAAGTTGTTGTTGACTTGTGATCAAAGTTTCTTTTCTCACTTTGGATGTCAGGAATCTCATAGAGAGAAGGAGAGAGAGAGAGATTTTAAATATTCCACACACATACACACACACACACAGGTGATATGTTTTAGCAGTGAAGCTTTTCAGCTGAACACTGCGTCACACATTGCCACCCAGTACTACCCAGTATTTTAATAAATCATCTTTTCTGATGATGAACTATAACCCACCTTCCCCATTAAAAGACACATATACATAAAAGGAGGGAGCACAGACAATCCAGTTGGAGACCAAATAAGCAGACACATGAGTCACCGTAGGAATCTTATGGTGATGCAACTGGAGACAGCATTTCTAATTTTAGTATGTCAGCTCCAGTCCCTGAAAGGGGCAATGGATATCTGCAAGGGCACTGGGTAAGACTGAAGGGTGAATATCTGCAGTTGATGCTTCATCATTTGGGTCTCCTCATCTTCTGGAGATTAGTTTACATGTACATCACCAGACTCTTATGGAGAAGACGCATCATTCCTGACTGATCAGGCTAATGAATGTATTCATGCCCTGAGTTCATCGACGGCCATTTGACTCATTTGCAATTAGAAGGCTCTTTGGTGTGTTGACAAACTGTTCGGCTCTAGCGCGCGCACAACTCTGGAAGAGACAGAGGCATCAAAACAGCCAGGGGACGCTGAGGCTCGTCACGTGTTGTTTGCCCCCCCCAGAGTCCTGTCTGACTCCTTCCTGAGTTATAATCAGACGGCGAATCACGGAATCCCGTGCGAGCCCGTGGATGCGGACGCGCGCCTTGCGAGCGCACACCCGGTCCGGTGGTGCCTGGGATTGGGTGGAGTGGGGGGGGAGGGGGCGGCGGCTGCAGCGGACGCAGGGTCGTGATTGGTTCAGTTCGCCGCCAAACTTGTTGACTCACAGCTCTCCATCCTCCACGGCGCGGAGCTGTCCAGGGTCCAGTGGTGCTGAAACTCTCACCTCCCGACGCGCCTTAGGAATTATCTCCTCTTTTTTTTGTTCTCTTCATCTTTGTTTCACTCCTCTCACCGAGCTTGAAGAAAGTTATATGCTCTCTCCGTGCGACACGTCCAGACGTCTCGTTTAAGCGTCACCGCCCTCGCCAAGAGCGCACCAAGCCCTCAACTTCTTCTTAGCCGGTCACAGAGAGGAGTCTCCGAGGCGCAGCCATGTCGTTCATGGTGAAGCACATGGTGGGGGGGCAGCTGAAGAACCTGACGGGTGGACTGACGGAGGAGAAACCCGAGGCAGAGAAGACAGATGCCGCCGCGCAGGGGATGACCCAGGAGGAATTTGAACAATATCAGCAACAGTTAGAGGAGGAAAAGTAAGGCGATGATTGAAGCTTGTGAAGTTGTCATCGAAATCTAGACTGTGTGTGTGTGTGTGTGTGTGTGTGTGTGTGTGTGTGTGTGTGTGTGTGTGTGTGGTGGGAGCTCTGCATCATATTTAAACTGTGTGTTTTCGTGGGTAAATAGCTGAGCGCTCCCAGTGCGCCGTGCGTTTCTCTTTACGCATCAATGCAATAACGCGGGCGCTCCACACACAGCTGCTCCTCTCGCCCAGGGATCTCGCTTTCTCTTCGCTCCGGCAAATTATGTTGAGTCGTTTTATAATTTGGGATTCCTGGAATCAGTCTTCCGTGGAAATGTCCTCAGGGATCGGACCCTGCGGCCAAAAACGTCCCCAATGCTGTGCATTAGTCTAAATTATGAAGCAGATTGTGTGTGAAAAACATTTGGATATTGACGGAGGGCAAAAAAACCGACACCAACTGATCAACTAACATTGGCTTCACTTTCTTAGACGACATTCATCTTTCGCTCATAAGTTTCTTTTGATATGATTTAATCAATTTATGGGATTTGATATCATATAAACAAATATGGATAAAATCTCTTTCATATCTCTAAACCTGTACCTTAAATTTAATTTCATTTATATATTCACAGCTGTGAACCTTTTAATTCTTTATTCTTGAAGTCATTTAACTCTTTACTCTGTGTGTGATGTACAAAAGTGGACTATTGTACCATCATTTCTGATTTGCATGTTTGTTATGGTGTTTATCCCCTGAGCCTATACTGGAGGTTCATTTAACACAACAACAAGGTCATTTGGCAAAGACTTCACCCAGCAGACAATAACTCACTATTGATTAGTGTGATGCTTCCCTTACAGCAGGACTCCACATCCCATATCAGATGTTCTCCAGCCTAAGATTAAATAAATTATGTTCTATATATAGAGAGAGAGAGAGAGAAAGAAAGAGAGAGAGATTTTGATTGTAGTGTCTAATCGTACCATCCATCCAACTGTTACGTTTCGAAATGTATTTCGTGAAATGTTGTGTTCTCATATTGTCTACTATAAAATGTGTTTTCAGAAACATATTTTCTGAAGTCTCGTGATGGACCCTTGGGGCCAATGTAGATTTCAGTTTAGTATTTTACATCTTAATTTAGAGTGACTCAGGTTGCTTTACCTCTTGTTTGGCTAATTTTACAATTGAAGTCAACAAAAAACAATTTCAATTTGGAAATCCAAAATCCTGTTACAAACTAATTTGAGCAGGTCTGAGTTGTGTCTTTAGCCGCTACATGTTTGTGTATAATGAGGATGTTTATTGCGATTTCATGAGACAGGAACAGATTTGATAGATTGTTGTTGATCCATGAGTTAATAAACCCAACCTAGGTTTATCAAATGGTAAATGGATGTGTATTTATTGCTCACTCAAAGCTCTTTACATGACAAGCCACATTCACTGGGGGGCTGGAGCCAATCTCACTGCACCATGTGCACTTTAGGAATGAGTGGGAAGTGAAGCCCTAACTCCAGCAGCATTAACACTGACTGAGCTCGGCCCACTGAGCTCCACAGGAGGCCTGGCGAGATGCTTAACGCTCTGCTGTCGCAATGTGACCTTCGGTGGAAGTGAATTATTAGTCAGAGGTGCTAAACATGAACATAGATCTCCGAGACGACCATACTGCTCAGATTAAAGCAGAATAAGGTTTGGGGGTGGAGTTGAGGGGGTGGTGTACTGCTCACACTGACGTAAAAAATACATTTTATCACCCTCAGCACTCAGGGCAACAGTGACAACCCAGGTCATCTGATGCCCTTGAGAGGGGAAGACACAGCTCAGCTCATAGGCTGTATCAGGGAGCGCTGCACGGGGCTGTGTGACGTTGTTTGGTGCTCGGCCCGCTCATGTTAATACAAAGTGAACTCACACTCACACAGACAGCACCATGAACTGCATCCTCACATAATATGACCTTGCCCTGACACATTGGGTACAAGCACTTTGCAAACCAGGCTTGTGTTCCCTGCTGCTGATTTGATCCTTGCAGACGTACAGTGTATCCTCGAGCTGCCACTGTAGTTCTGCCTTAAAGATCATCATCCAGGATGTACGATAATAAAAACTGTGGCCTTTTGTCATCGTTGCTCACGCTACATGTTTTGCCTCGGGCCATTGCAGCAAGTTTGATCAGAGTTGTGTCATGTTGTTGACTCACAATGTTGTAGAGGCATTTCACAAAATTTTACAATTCATGAGGAACAATTACAAACCACACTGAAGCCATAATTATTCCAGTGGTGTTGATGGGAGAGAGCACTGCCAGCAGCCTGCCCTCTGCTGGAGGCATCACATACTGTAGGCTGGCGTCTTCACACAAGTGACTTTTAGGAGACAAATTACAGAACAAATATCTATATATAAAAAAAAATGGGCTTATGGGTTATTTCTCTTCTTAAATAGTTTAGCCCAAACTGCCCATGTTGCAAAGATACTTCCTCTGCTATTTTGAGGATTTCCAGGATTAAAAGATGAAAACACATTGACGTTTAATATTAGCCCTGCAGAAAGGGAGTTGAGTCCAGGATTTGTGCGGAATAGGGAATGGGGCAGCTGTATACGCGGCAGTGAGTCAGCAGTTAGTCGGTCACCTCCGGCAGTCCACATCCCAAAAGGCTGGAAATCCCTCAGAGGAGTGTTGGACTGACAGAGTGCTGCATCTGGGGCCCCTAAACATGAGCATCTCTCTCTGCTTGTTGTCCCCACGGCATCACTGCTGCTCCACCTTCTGCTGGAGCTGAGTTAAGATGAGAACACATGGCAATGCTCTGCCTCAAGGGCCTCCAGGGTCCCAATCCAGGCCTTATATGATGATCTTAAAGCAGAGATGCCACTGGACATGAGCATTGCAATGAGGAACACTGATTTTCTTTATGTGTGGTGCTCAGCGTAGGTGCAAGGTGATGCAATTCAAACAGTTGATTGGAAGCTGAGATGGTCTAAATTTGTATAGCACCATGAATATTGAGCAAAACCTATAATTGTTTTTCTCCTTTTTTTGCAGACAGGAACGAGAAGCAAATTTTGCCCAGAAGAAAGCTGAGAGAGCTACAGTTAGAACTCATTTCCGGGAAAAGTACCGGTTACCAAAGGTAAACTAATCCAGCACTGCTTTTGTAAAGAAAAAAACAGAATAACTGCATTTTAAAGGTTATTCTTGTAGTACACTACTTAAACTGGGTAGGAATCTGAGTCTTGTTTTAAAGGTTCCTGTGTCAGTATGGACATGAATGTATACATGTGTCTCCCATGTGTCTGCCAACTTGTGTCCACCCCAGAACGAATTGGATGAGACCCAGATCCAGCAGGCGGGGGACGACGTGGAGCTGCCCACGGAGCTGGCCAAGATGATCGCTGAAGACAACCAGGAGGAAACGCACAAGCAGTCGGTGCTGGGCCAGCTGTCCAACATCCAGAACGTGGACATCGACCAGCTGAAAGACAAAGCCCAGGCCACGCTGGAAGACCTGAAAAAGCAGACGGAGAACTGCAGCCTCATGTGATCCTGCAAAACTCTTGAGTCCCAGAGGATTAGAGTTTGACTTGTACAAATATTTTTCAGAGGCAGAGCTGCTCTAGAGATAGAAATATTCTCATTGCTTCAGTGGAATGTCAGTTGGCAGAGCCACATAATAACAGTTTTTCTAGCTGTGCAAAGTTGGACAGACGCCCCCGTGGAAAAGAAAGGAAAAGCTGATATTTTGAAATCTGGGGCTCATTTTACAAACTGGAAAGATAGTAGTTCTAGCTACAGTGTCATCTAGGGAATTTTCTTGTTAACCCTCAAATCTCCTATAAGCCATGAATGTCATTCATATATTTTTATTGAATCAGCTAACTTGCACTCTCAAAGACTGTGGTTCTTGGGCTCCTCCTATTGATTTAACACATGAGACTATTTCTGCATTTAGAACAACTCCTCCTCTGAGAAAAGTTTATCCCGCGTATCAAATCCCTTCGTTCCCAAACCTTCCTCTGTGTCTGTACCTCACCTGACCTGTGATAATACAATACAATCCTGCAGCAGAGCTCTCAGTTATGTGTAGAGGGTTAAGTTGCTTCCAAACACACAGCACAGCCGCAGATTTCACTGATGCATTAACAGCAGGAGAGACTGACTCTGGCTTGTGTCAGGAAGTCATGTTTTATGTTGGATGTAGGAAATTTGGTGATTTATTTCAGGGTGAATAAAATAAAAGAGCCAAAATACAGGCAATATTCATTTTAGAGCAACAAATCAGGCTGATCTTTGTTGTAAGTAGCTTACCAATGTCAGCGCCCTGGTGCCCAGACTTAAGCTCCCTGTGAGCTGCATTAATCTTACTTTCAATATTTCCCTGAACATATCATTTTACTGGCGTTTCTAGCTTTTTCAGTACTTCGGTGTGCCTCTGACGTCCGTACAAGGTTGGCGTCTTTATAGCTTCAAGATGTGTAAGCTACTTTTTACAAAAACTGGTCTTCTGGTTTGCTCCTCTGTGGCAGTTTTTTTTAAGTTGAATTAGATGCAAACAATATATAGTCAGGCATATATGATGTCTTATGTTTGCTGCATTTTATGAGCTGTGAGTAAATACAGTAAAACGTGTATAATAACTGGCTTCCTGAATTTAACCTGGCAACAATCTCAACTACATAATGAGTAAATCTGTTTGTGTGCTGCATCCAGTTTTAAAAAAACAGACACGAAAGCTGCTCAGATGAGAGAAATGTAAATGCTTCAGAAGTTGTATGCCAAAGGAAATGGCGTAAATATGTCAAACTGTGTAACCGAAGTGTGTGTTTGTGTGTATAAATCCACATACAAACATTTATGTTGTATAAGATGTAAATGTATCTCCTGTTTGCCTATAATGTCAACAGCGGCCATCATCCACTGCACTTTCATCGACTCGCTTGGTCTCGTAGTGTTGTAGCCCGCTTTGTGTGACCTTTGACCTTGTCCTCCATCTCACCGACCCCGTGTGTCCTCAGTGGCTTCCGTTGTTGTGCTGGTGGACTTTGTGATGTTTAGACGATGTGATATGTCGAGTGGTGTCTTTGTAAAAAAAAAAAAAACCTGGTCCCGGCAGAGAGTGCTGGTGGTAGAGTTACGCATGCAGCACAGTCACTGAGGTGTTCTGTCTGTGCTGTTTTCCCTGCCAACCGTGAGGCGTGGCAGCGTGGGCGACTAAAGAGGGGGGTGTCGTTGGTGTCGTGTTACGTTCATATACATTTTTGCCAGTGTTTGAGTTTACGTAGCAGTGGTGTAGAGGGTGATGTCAGCTGCCCCCTACATTGATTCCTGTTATGGTTCAACTGCCAAAAAAGTTATTATAATTTTTTTATTTCATTTACATATTTTAAGGAAATATGGGGGAAACAGATATTGCCTGTTTTTTCTAATTTTGTTGGTAATTTCCATCTGAAGATGCCACACTACTGCTGAATGAAACCTGAGGAAACATGAGGGAGACATTTTCAGTGCGGTGGATATCGCCCTGTGATAAATAAACAGTATATTCATAATATTTCAATATGAAGCAGAGGAAAAGTTGCAATAAGTCCTTTTATGATCAATTATCATGTTTCATGGTAAGACAACATTAGTGGGTGGAGCAGAAGCCATAAAGCAAACTGTTTGCTTTGTATGAGTGTGTATAACTTGAAATAAGAATTCAGTAACTCAATAATACTACTAATATTAATAGTGATATATAAATGTACTTTTGTGCTGTCATACTGTGCAGTTGATTTCTGTATCTTTCAGGAAGTGGCTGCAACGACAAGCAGTTTCTCCTCGTTCTTTGATTATCTCTGTCATTCTCTCTCTGAAAGGATTTCAGTGATTTTAAGTTTTAACTGCAATAAACTGATTTTTAGGATAATGTACGTCCTGTGTGTTGCGTGAATTTCACAAGGAGCAGCCTCAGATTGTGTTCACTCGTGTATCAGTGTTGTCACATCTGCAGAGGCTTGAACACCAGGTGGAGACAAAACCACAGTCAGGAAAGTTATGGAACAGAGGCTGTAGATTGATGGATCAAGAAGCTGACTGATGGTTGTGATTGACAGCATCAGACATTGGATGTTGTTGTCAATAAGTATTTTTAAAAGACGTAAATAATATATAAATATTCATATGGACGGAAACATTATCTTTCTGTGAGAAGCAACACAGACTAAATCAAATAGTCCAAATGTACCAGTACATGCTCAAAGCCTTCATAAAGAGAAATACAAATGCACGCTTACATGTATGTAAGTGGAGATGATGCATGTAATAATAATACAACTATATGTGTCTGTTATTTTGTAAATGTACTGCAAACACACACAAGCCAACTCTATCAACACCCTGCATTCTAAAGCACAGTAAAAACACAGCTATCTTTCCTATTGTATTCATGAATAGATACCAGGTTTGGGCATATATCTGGTTTTGTGCAGTAAAACTGGCACAGTCTGTGGTGTTTGGGGGGTGGAGGGGGTTACTTTGCAAAAAGAAAAAAATCAAGTTAGTTACCATTTCAATGGAAGGGAAGCCTGAGCTATTGGTAGTCTTCAAGTGTTGTGTGAAAGGGGATGGCTGTAAAATATATTGATGCTGAGACCCCTCTCCATTCATAGGCCGCAGTGCGTGAACAATCTTCAGCCTGGAGAGAGACACACTGGGCCGCTGCATGGACAATCTGACACAATTGAGGTGAAACGGGCCAGAAAATACTATTCTCTCCCATTCTCCTCCATCAATCGAGGCTTTAAAAACTCTGCAGAGGGAGAGAGGGACAGAGAGGGACAATTAGCGAGGGTCTTTAAGAGAAAACCCCTCAACGACGAGGCGGTAATCACCCCCACTCTCTGTTCTGCCCTCAGTTTATGGATAAAAAGCAACAGATTTTGTTTTTCCACGCTGAAAAGTGGAGCAGTGAAGTTGCAGATGTGAGCTCCTTGCAGAGGAATGCAAGCCCCCTCCTCTTCTTTTCTTACTTGGGTTTTGCTCCAACAGAACAGAGCAGGAGAGGGGGACCACACAGATGCACGATGCGAGGAAAATGATAAACATGTTCCTCCAGCCCATCTGGATGAACATGTCGTCCCGTCTCTCATGCACCCGTGAGGATTTGTGCGTAAAGCTGCTGCCGCTACACAGGCCGGGAGATGGGTCCCACGACTGACTCTTCAATGACGACCAATCCGGTGGCCAGGATTGTAAATGAGAGAGAGGGAGAAGGGGGAGGGAGGGAGAGACAGGGGTTAGGAAAACTTTTCTTTCTCTCGACAGAAGGAGGGGTGTTGTGTGGGGGGAAATGCTCGGCGGACCGTGAAGCGTAACCAGCAGAGGAGGGGGACAAAGACGGACATAGCGGGACAAAATGAGACAGATAGAAACCTAAAAAACGCAACAACAAGAAAACATCGGGATGCGTGGATCGGTGTTTATAAAAGTGGCAGAGCTGCACGCGAAGAGGATTGTAAGTTAACACACAGGAGAGAGGAGTTCAAGTGTGCAAAGTTGTGGACAACAGCGATGGTCGGACTGCGCGTAAACTTCGGATAGCGCTGCGGTGACGCGTCGCGGTGTCCGGCCTCGTATCTGCAGCGGACAGACTGGAGATAACATTTCCTTCTTTCCAACAGGACATGCGTCCCGGAATCACTGCTGCTGCCGCCGAGCTGTTTCTCTCTTTTGCAGCCACGCGTGGTAATTTCCCCGAGTCAGATCCTGACTCCACCAGGAGCACCCAAACCCAACCAATGCGCAGGTTTGAGGATCACCTCTAAATTATGTGCGGTTGTAACAAACTGATTACAAAAGAAACTCATGGAATACTTGTGTGAACTTCATTCTGCGGAATCGAGTGTGTGAATTGCCCCTGTCCCCTAATGTGCTGGTGGAGAAAGTGCACGTAACCGAACTAGAACTCCATCCAAGCATGAAATGTTGGTGCAGCGCCCTGGCACTTCTCCCATGGGTGCTGGTGGCCATAGACGCTCAGCTTATCTGCTGGCAGGCGCTGCTGCGGTGCCACGACGAACCCGAGTGCGATCTCGCGTACGGCCAGTACCTCGCGGCTTGTGAGGGGAACATCAGGGGGACGAGGAGACAGTGTCCCAGCCACTGCATCAACGCGCTGATCAGACTCAATCACACCCGCAGCGGGCCGGACCTGGAGACCTGCGACTGCGCGCGGGACCTGGAGTGTCTGAGCGCCAAGCGAACCATAGAGCCGTGCTTGCCCCGCAGGTACCCGAGCGACGCCGGCGGGATCGGGTGCATGGAGGCCCGGCAGCGCTGCGAGGAGGACAGCAACTGCCACACCTCCCTCACGGCCTACTTGTCATACTGCGGCCAGCTGTTCAACGGCAGGAAGTGCTCCTCCAAGTGTAAAGCCACCATTCAGCAGATGCTTTTCATCCCAAATGGCATGCTGCTCAACCGCTGTGTTTGCGATGGGGTCGAGCGGCCTTTCTGTGAAGTGGTCAAGGAGAACATGAGCAAACTGTGCTCCATAGGAGACCACAATGTTATTTCAGACCAGCCTGATGTGGATGACATGTACGAGGATGAGGACTATGACCCTAAAGGTGACAGAGAGGAGGTGTATACTGACCACTCCTCTGCCCAGAGGTTATCCAGCTGCATGGGGCTCCTGTTCCTTCCTCTAGCACGGATTATTTACTGAGATGATGGGCACTCCAAACACTTGTTGGGTTTATAAATGACTGTTCTAAAACATTCATTGTGTGGCCAACACAGAACCTGCACCTGGGTCTGCTGGATGAGGAGCTCCGCCCGCAGCAGGACTCCCTGACACCCCAGTTTAGTTGCATGGAGGCAGAGAGCACAGTAGTGATTTGTGTAGGCCTTCCACAACGGTACAATTCACACAGAAATTCTCCTTGATGCACATCTCCCTCAGGAATACTGCTCTTTTGATTTGTGATTCTCATGTTGCCACAGGTGGCCTTGTAGTTCTCAGAGTTAACTGCTCATTAGTAGAAGAGCGACTGCCGTCAGAAACGACACACATACATCCAGGTGATAATGAGAGGAAATGAACCAAAACCACACTTGTTTTTTTTCCGGGGCCATTGCTCTTTTGTATGTCTTTAAAAGAAGCTCCTGTTTGTTTGGTCTGGTTTCAGTGCCACTTGGAGTGTGTGGCTTTATTAAGACCTTGGGCAAACATTGGACTCTTACAGTCTGTTTGCTCTGCTCTCCATTTCAGGGGCCACATGCATTGTTGCAGCAAAGGCACACTTCAGATATTTGTGGGGAATGGTCTGAGGACAGGCAAGGGTGTGGGATCAAGTTCTTAAATTAACTGAAGCGCCTCTGTAGCACTCTGTCTGGGTCCCCTCCCCTGTTTGAGATTGTTTTATTGAACTTTTCCTGAGACCCCCCCCTCTCTGCTGCCTGCCCCCTCTCACGCCTTTAAAAGACCCCTGTCTTTATTACTGTTCTCACACTGAAGCTATAGGGAAACCTGTCGGCTGCTGGTGTGAACGTGTGAACGCGTGAACACATCACGCCTGAAGTTTGTTCACTCTGCTCATGACAGGACGTCTGTTATGTTGATATTCGTGTGTGAATGCAGCTCTAAACGAATGTGTTTCCAGTGTTTCAGTGAGTTTTCATAAACTCACTGAACAAAGAGAAGTCATTTTATACATTTATACATTAAAGATGAAGGTCATGATGGAATCTCCCGCAGGAATAACAACAATCAGGGAATGTAGCAGGACGGTCACTAAGTGCTTAATAAATAACTTGCACAAATACAAATGAAGGTCAGAAGAATTGAAATGTGATTTAGTAGGGTTTCAAAATTCCTTTAAAAAACCAAGAAGGCTTTTATTTTGAATTTTTACTGTTGCAGACATTTACATGTGGATATGCTCTGTGTGTCAAACAGGCTAATGTTACCTGGTCCACAACTTAAGTGCAGGGATTCAAACCAGCAGCCTTTCCGTCTCGCTGTTTAGCAAAAAAGGGAAAGTAAACAGTGTTTTTTCATTAGTATTCATCACTTCTGTAACAAAGCTGCCCTGCTGTGTCTCTGCCAACGGAACCAGTGTCAAAACTAATCTTTTTCTGTTTTTGGTTTTAAGTCTTGAACATTGATACATGTTAAATTATGAAGCTAGAATATGAAGAATGTGTATATACTTCACAATTATATGCAGTTAAATGAAGCCAGTGCATGGCCACTGTTACAGCAAAATGCATTTAATACACAACATACACACAAATGTAATGTAGCTCAGATTTTGTCCACAACGCCTGACATGATACAGATTTTCCAATTTTTCATCTCATCTTGTGGAAACATAGCAGTAACCATCTCAGAGCAGTGTCTCTCATGTGGGAGGGTGAGTTTTATAATAAAATGTTTATCAGCTAAAGTTGTGTGATGGTGTGATTTGAGCTCAGAGAATGAAATGAAAGGAAGAAATGTGAACAAGAATGTGTCACTAAGGAGCTTCTTAAGACTCGTGCTTGATTATTGTTGATCGTACAATATTTAGTTCTGAAGAAGTTGTGAAACTATGAATATGTTTCATGCTTCAGTGGTGCATGGAAAGTAGATTAAGCTAAGTTGTTGAAAACAGTGGTTATTATGTGTATGTCTGAATGTACCTGCCCTTTACCACATACAGCTTTTTTACGTTTACTTTTGATTTATTGGCTTTCTGAATGCAGTGTCATTTCTTTACATGAATTTTATATCACAAACCAGAATGTCAGTCAGTTGGGCGCAACTACTGCCCAACAGTCCCCTCATTAAACAATATTTCAATTCACTACAACCTGATTTCTATTTGGATCTGAACCAAATTTCCAACACTCAAAAATATCAGTCCTCAAAACATATTCAATAAAGGAAAATGTTGCAAAACATTTCTTAAACAAACTGTTAAAAAGAAAACCAAATGGTTCCGCCCTCTGAATCAGATCCACACCAGAATGTAACGGGTTCTTCCTGGGGCTATGACCCACCCCTCCACAGGGTTGTACGGAAATGGGTTGCTAACAAACAAACGCAGATGAGAACCAAAATATTTAGTTGACGTCATGTTTAGACTGCAAAATGAAATCCAAAATAGAGAGAAAATTGTTTAAAAATGTGTCCATAGTGAGCTCTGCATGTCTCGCCCTCTAATATCCAGTGGATTAGTTCGGTGTAAGTCAAACCTCGTGAGGAATTTTAAGTGTGAGTGGAAAACCAGGTATAGACAGCTGTGGAAACACCTCAATTCATCCAACTGAGCTGGTATCAGAGTTTACTGTAATCAGAGGACTCAACTTCTCCTTCTGTGTATTCACAAACTTTGCTAATGATCAGAAGTCATTTGGGACTTGTTCCACACTTACTTTGGTTATTTACAAGTCATAAACAAATTGTAAAAGAGTCGTTTAGTGTTGCTGTTAGATGGGAGGTGGAAAGGGGAACAAAAGTACAGTGGTAAGTTGAAAAACAGACAGAGCATAGCTGCTGCTATTCCTTTGTAACAGTGAATCATACTTTTTACATTTTTGTCCCCAGCCCTGCGTGATGACAGACCTTCGGATGAATAAGTGGCAAGAGAAGCTGCAGAGCATACTTCTGCACAGCTTGATTTTTCACCAACCACAGGAATCCATTTCCAATCGTCTATTGTGCCGTAAAATGTAAACAAATTCCATCTAGTTTAGTTAGATTTGCTCCAGTCTGTTGTAACCACTGCCATACACCTTAAAATCCTCCAACCTGCCCCCGTCCAACCCCCTCACCCCACCTCCTCATCCAGATTCTGGGAGCAAAATCAAAACAAGCACGAGTGGTGCAGCCTCAGGGAGTTGAGTGTGCGGAGGGAGGAGAGGGGGGATACAGAGGCAGCACTGTGCTGTAGCCCATTTTCTAAATTATCTTTATTCAACATTTCGCTGAAACAACCTCCCCCTCCGCCAAACCCCTCAGTCTATCTTCACCGCTCCAAAGTGGGAGTGACCCTACAGGATTTAGGAGGCTCTTGTCTCTCGTAGGTACAATGTTTCATTCATGATAGCCGTCAGTGAATGGGCTGACCTGCTCTCTGTTTTCAGGGCAGGGGGTGCTGGAGTCAAGGGCACTAGGGTTCCCTCAGGTCTAGAGCACAGAGACCCCTTTTATAGACCACTGCCGCATTAAGAGCATCAACAGAGAGAGAGGGAAGAGTCTGGAGGGGGAAAGCCCGACAGAAAGTGTTGTTGGATGTGCAACAAGATGGAGGCTGATTAAAGCCACAATGCTGTAGGTTGCGGTTTGGAAGAGGAGAATGGGGTGGGTGTCTTGGAGGAGGAGGTGGGTGAAGTTTTCCATCTCAGAATCCCCCCCTGTCTGGCTTACATTACTGTAATGATATTCTGTGCACTTTTTGGGGGCAATATAAATTGGCGGTGCTCCCGGAAACAAGAAACAAAGGGAGCGCAAGGGTCAAAATTGCATCCAAAGTTTTCCTGGCAGCAACATGCATAACACCGTGGGCCACGTGAACCAATTACAGCCCCCTCCTCAGCGCAGCCACAAATGCAGCACCCAGCGGTTCTCCATCCTGTTGTTCCAGGACTCGAGGCCACGCTGCTCTCTGTTCTAACCAAACAGTCTGGGAGTGATTTACACCTGGCATGCCAGGTGAATGGGATTACCCAGATGGTGGGGAGGAAAACTAACATTACTTCAAGTCCTGGTCAGATGAAAAAAAAAAACACTTGTTAAACCTAAGGTAGCCGCTCCGTGTTTTGCTGCTTTTAGGAGAACTTGATGTGTTTTAACCCCAAATCAGTGATGATATTCACAGGATTTTATTGTCTTAGAGTATTTTAAAGAGAATCATTACTGCACTTACATAAAGTTCAAGGACTCACAAGAAACAGATTTAAAAAACATTGCTCAATATTGAAAACCACAGAGCAGAGATATCCTGGATTTTATTCCCTAGCATGGATCAAGCTCAGACACTAGGTATATACTATACCTATATATTGACCATAATGCAACTGGACGGTGCCTTTATTGAGGCTACATCCATGCTAATATGTTTTTGTTTTAAAACGAAAACGATCTACGTCCACACTTGTATTATCTCCTCTGCAAATGGTTGCATACTTAGAGCAACTAGTGCCAACAAGAAACAGCAATGATGAAAACTAAAAGCAAGGTTTTCTTAACTGACAGTGAAGTTGAACTGTTACTAAAGCTGCTTTCAGACTTGCATTGAATTCCACAGATCCTCTATATTTTCTCTGGAGGAGGCGCATGTGAGAATGGAAATAATGAGAGCCTCAGCAGTTTCTGCGGACGTTCTCCACCTGGCCTCCTTATACAAAGTCTGTAGAAAGTAAGCGGGTGAGGGGAGGGGTGGTGAAAAGGTGGTGTCATACATGTCAGTAGAAGACACTGACAAAGATGCGAAGAGTTTGTGGTGATAAGAGCTGTAAACTAAATCATGTGATCTCTGCAGCAGAATTAATACATCACTTCCTGCCTCTATCTGTTGCTCCACCTTTCACCTGAATAATGTGGAGGATTTGTTGTTCCCGCTGCGTTGTGCATGTGTGAAAGGCAAAGTCTGGGTAAACTTGCTGACCCAACTCCGGACTTTACCTGCACGTCATGTCTGAAAGCGGCTTTAGGGTTTACACTTTGCATTCTGCGCTGGTAGTCAAGTTGTCACCCTATGGTCATGACTGATGAAAACAAATCAGGAAGCAAATGAGAGTGACATTATTTCCCAACATCTCTGTTTTTGCCTGTCCAGACTGCAAAAAAGCCCTGGAGTGTTCAAAGTACAACAGGTCAAAAGACACTCGAGTTTGGACGGCAGGTGAAAACGTAACACCAGTGATGCGTTTGACAACTAAAATGTAGTAGTTTGGATGTAGCCACTGTCACAACATCCACAAATTCCAAATCCTCAGTCTGTAACACAGGCTTTCTGTTGATCAAGTTGTAGCTCGAAACCCTGATGACGTCACTATGACATCATCAGGGTTATTTTCTCCCAGTGCCCCTTTAAAACTGATCTGTTAGGGCGAAATGGCTCAGCAGGTGGTCGTCTAAAGATGCTGATACCTCAAACTGCCCCTAATACTGTATTATCAGTGTGTGTGAATGAGTTATGGTAAACACTTCAAGTGGTAGAGAGAATAGAAAGGTGCCATATAAATACAGTCATTTACTTTATACTTGATCCTTTTCATATTTGTGGTGATGCTAATCCAGTGAAGATCTGTCTTTGACATTGTAAAATGGTTCACTTTTTAATTTCTCAGTTTTGAAGAGCTTAACTATGACTAAATGTTACATTACTCTTCATACATTGAGTGCTACAGTATGGGCTAATTTTGAGCCATCAGTGAAAGAAGTGTGACTGTCACGGTGCAGTGACACGAGCTGGATCTGTCATGAGCAGCAGAGGAGCTAGTGACGATTGAAGGAAACAAGATCATTTTCTTTTAATAAATTCTTTGTGTTTCTCATAGTTCTGGAGACTTTGGTGAATTTAGTTTCCATAGTTTTCCTGACTTCCATACAAATCATATAATTATAAAATGTCCTTACTTTCCCCGGCGTGCCTTCCTGTCTCCTCCCCTCATGAAGCCGAGCCAGCTGTTACTGCAGAGCGGCCTTCCAGATGATGACGACGACGGCAAGGGAACAGCAGCGCTGCTCCCCCGACAGCACATAAATCTTTCCATAGGTTCTGAAAGCGTTTGCCCTGCGCTGTTGACAAAACGTCTGAAGAGCTTTCAGACTACAGAGACGCCAGAGACTGCCATTTTATTTTCCACTGAATTTCTCATTTAATAAATACATTATATAAAATCACAGCTGTATAAACATTCAAATAAAGATTAAAGTAAACAGCAGTGCGGAAGTCTTGTCAGATGACACACAGTATTTATACTTTCCCTCATTTGACTTCGGCTTCAGGTATTCTCTCCAAAATGATTTTCACAAAGTACAGCTCCCTTTTCACAGTTTTCAAGCACTTCACCTGTCTAATAGGAAAACAGTGCGTGAAGACTGAAAACAGCGTGGATTATCAGCCTACCACCACTGTTAAGCCTTTCACTATTTCACAGAGGCCCAGTTATAAGGCTTTCCTTGAGCGCCACAACTTACTGTATCCCTCAAATCCCCGTCCACTGCCAAACCTAAGAAAATGCAAGTCTAGAGTAAATAAGGCAGAGGCCGCACCTCTCCAGTTTTCCCCTCATAGTGGTGGAGAGGGCTCCATCAGTGGAGAGAGCATGGTGAGCCTGTGGTTGACCCACAGTAAAGGCAGTGGGGAAATGGGGGGGTGAGGGAGTGTGTGCATGTTTGCAAGGGCCTCGATATAATATACTTAATACTACAGTTCAAAATCCTCATGATACCTAACATCACAGTTTATATTTGATTGTATCATCAGGTTTTCTCAGTTTTTCTGAATGACTGTC